TTTTGATCTTAAGGACAAATTAAACAGATGAACTTCTCTCTCATCCCTTTCATTGAAGTCAAGACTTCATGTAAGCGATTGTGTATCTGTCCTTCATTCTCATACAGACATCAGTCACGGTTTTGTGTTTCTACCCATTCACTACACCAAAGACAGACTCTCAAGCCGTGTGTTATGCTTTGTTTGTCACCCCACGACTTAATCCACTGAATAATATGTGTTACCTAGCGTTACCTCTGCCATTGCTGTAATCTCATCTTCCGTGAAGTTCGCTTTTCTGTTTTGGTTTATGGCTGTTTCACACTAAACCCTTATTCGTGCAGGTATTACATCAGGAAAAATCGCAAGACAGCTGTTGTCACTTTAAGTTGATTGAGATTTATCGATTCATAAACCTGCTTAACCAATGTTTTTTGGTTTGGTGTTTTTTTATGCTCAGCATCTTTCATGAATCAAACATGAGCACGCTACCAGGAATGATCTTAAGACAAGTATAAATCTGAGTGCATTTTTATAAATGAGTCTCCAGCTGTTGGAGAAGAAGCCCAGCAATACGGTGATGAAATCCCCAAAAAAAATAAAAATCCTTCCAAAAATAGCCATTTGCCTTTCACAAATAAAGCTCCACACTTTTTGAGGAAGAAAATATATGAGGCAATGAGTCAAATTAGGATGCATAGAACATTCTCACAGAGCGAGAAAGGCATTTGCACATGAAGAGTTGAAAATGAGTCGCATTCAGCCAAGCTGTGAGCTCCACCTAGGAGGCAGTGAAAGAGACTGAGACAGGCACAGAGAGGGACTGAGGCAGGCAAGCAGGCGCCAAGCCTTGAAGAGGGGCATTCTGGCATAATGACTCTCATTTACCATTGACAGGCCTTGGGAAAGTTAAACTAATTATGACAGCACACAGATGCTGAATAGCCCTTGATGAAGTTAATAACTGGCAATCCAACAAACAGGTGTTGAATGATTTCTGTTACCTCCCCTGGAATTATAGGATGTTCTGATTTTTTCCCGCTCGTAGCAGCAATCTACCCAAAGGCAGAATTATGCCTCCTTATAACCGTGATCTTGGCAAACTGTGTGAATATGTGAATGAGAACAACACATACAACAATGGAAGACAGAAAGCTTGTTCTGTAACCTGTACCATTAGTATGACAAACAGGAAGAATTGCCACCGAGTTGAATGTGCATACAAAAAAAAACTGCTTGAAATGAAAGGCGCTTCATTGTGCTGTAGTGGTAACAGGTGTCAGCACAAAAGCATAAGCACGGAAACGTGTTTCATCCTTCCTGTGAGTCCAACATTTTGGTATCTGGCGGTGGTTTTAATATGCATCTCATCCATTATTAAGACCAAATAAAGACATTTTCATTTATAACACACATCAGTTTTAGGGACTACAGCAGGGTAAATGTTAGTGGTGTTGCTTTACATTATCTAATCTCCCATAAAGTGAATAATATTATTATCAGCCTACAACTGTTTTACCAACAGGATTCGTGACACTTAATATTACGTTTTCAAACAACAAAGATTTACAGAATTCAACACACATTCTTAAAATCAACAGCGGTGTGTCAATGAGAGTTCTGTCTGCCAGGAGGAGATCGCCACTGATTTAATGAACTTCAGAATACATAAAACACATCTCCTGCAACTCCCAGATCACTACAGATCATTATTAACAGGCGGGGATAATGTGCATGCATAAAGATAATAGGCTCAGCTGAATGTCATTAAATTGTGTAACACTTTAAGTTTCACACCAGGGCCAACAGAAACTTTGCACACTAAATGACTGCACAATGAGCTATTTAACATCTGCTGGCATCTTATTAGGCATACTTGTTTGAATACTCCCGGAAAAAAATTCAGTTATTGCTTTGTTTTTGTTGGTAATGACTTTGTAACAAGTCGAAATATAATATGCTTTTTTAGTATATTTTGATTTAGCAGACCGGCTTTTTTTAATGTAGATAAAGGAGGTTGTCACATGTGGGCTTCTTTCTCTGGCTGCTTAGACTTTGTATGCAGTGCACTCCTCTAGCATTTCTTGCATGGCCTACAATGAGATTTGACCCAGCGCTAGAACGCGTTGTCGATCGGAGGGTAAATTTGATTTGTCACTGAATAAAAGTTCAAGCTGTTACCTTCTTGTTGTCTATCCAAGTCAGACCAGCAGACTTGTGTATTAAGGCAATCAAAATCCTGCAGAGAGTGTAAGTGAGCACTGCATAGGGCTTGTTACCCTTTGACAACAAATATGATGAAAAATGCTGCTTCTTGTATTGTTCTCACGGCACATATGCAGTAGTTTATAAAGTATGTTTAAATTGCAACCCATAAATGGCATTTTAATTATATTCAATATGATTCACAGATTTTTTTCTGCTTGTCTATTTATGAAGTGAGACTTTTTCGTAACACAGTGTCGGCTTGTCTGTGTTTAAGATGAAGAAAATGTAAGCATGGGTTTCTAAGTGTATATGTAAGTGTAAGGAAACCATGCAGAGTACACACAGAACTCCTGCAGATGTTTGAGGACAAACTAAAAGTAAGTGCCTAATTAACAGCATAAGATATACAGGGGCTGTACGGGAAGTCTTTCCTCGTTGTTTTTGCAGGTAATGGTGCTTTTATTAGCTGGGAGGTTCTGAATTTTAGCCTTCCTCCCTCTGTCTCTCTCTGCAAATCACCCCTTATTAATGTGACGAAATAAAGGGCTGAGTAATTCTTTTGCAAAGTAACATATGTAGGTGGATGATTTGAGTGCTGTTCGAAGGCCAGCACAAATATCTTTGGACTGATACTGTAATTATTATTAAGAGTTTTTTATACATCTTTACAATCTTTACGTCTACTGACTGAAACATTAGAGTCAAGCAAAAATCATAAATTAAATGAAAGTGTTTCATTAATAAATACCTGAGACTGATTTTTCTCTTGGAAAAAAAAAAAGAAATCCAGTTCAGGTGAGAAAATAATGGCACGGTTCCAAAAAACTTGACAACAAAATGAATGGTTGTTTTTGTGTTCCCCCTGCAAGGTAAATTAATCAAGTTCACAATAACAAGTCATAGCACAAATGAGAGATTGGGACCTCTTCAAAACTACAAGTTAATCATTCCTGTAACTGAGTACGCATTCAAAACTCCTGATAATGGCAACTTTCAAGAATTAAAAATTGATATGCCCCACCTTGGAGAGTTTACTACAGTGTGAACATTTGCTGGGTAAGCAACAGCAGCTAATGGAAGCTGTTAAATTTTATTTTGCTCTAAAAATAATGCACCCTGCATTTCTCACTCTCCCTAGAGTTTCGAGCAGCGGGCGAATAGAGCAGGTGTGTGCCTGGGATCTGTGCGATCGTGAATCCGAAAACAGTCAAAAATTCACACATCTTTCAAAGCGGCATTGTTCTGTGCGCCACCACTGAGTGTGTATTTATTCACATGCTAATCAAGATTTAAACGCTCTAAATGTATTTCAGGTGTATCGAAAAGATCCGGATTTGAACTCTTATTATATAAAAATCAAAAAAGGTCTGTGCTGTCCCGTACAGCACACCTTTCTCCCACTAGATATTCAATCAGTTGATGTTTTGTTGATGGTGTAAAATATTGCTTCAGGCACTGGTGTGGAATTGCAGCTCAGTTTTCAAAGGGCTGAGATGTAATGACTGAACCAGCCCAGGCAGTATGAATTCACTCTCGCAGTTATTGCATTGTTTAGTAATCACTATTTGCTCGTGAATGTGTTCATTTTCAGCACCAAACAGGCACCTTTCATAAAAGGCTTCGTCACAAGAGGATGGACAGGGGCATTTGATTTGCCGGCATCTGTTTGAACTTTAGATGTTGCTCGCATTAGATAAAAATGGCAAAATAACATCCAGAAATCCTACTTTTATAATAAACTCATATGCATTTGTTTTCGTCTTGTGTTTTTTGTGAGTTGCAAACTTAACATTCACTATTTCTGTGGTGGCTCTTGTCCATATCCAGTTACTTGAACAATAATAGATATACATCATTTCCACAAAAGAGGGGTGTGTGAGAGAGAGAGAGGGGGGGGGGGGGGGGGGGGTGACAGTAAAGCTGTGCAGACAAGCAGAAACACAGATAGTGTCCAGCAGAAAGCATAGATGATGAGAGGGCAGGCCCACACTAGAGAAATAATTAGGACAAGGCCACTGTGCATGAATCCGTTGCAGCTTCCCACAAGCACTCATCTGTGTCAAACAGCTTGGTCAATAATCTTCAGCAATTCCCAAGGATTAGAGTCTTATTACCGAGCACCGTCTGTCACACAGACCTCAGCGCCCAAACAAGTCGCTTCCTGACTGCTTACTCCCACCGAATAAACATCCCGCTGGAAAATTGATCAATTGGTTCAGGTTCATATTTATTGGTGTTTAGTTTCTGATTGTCTTATTTAGTTTTCCTCTTGCCTGGTGGTGGTAGTGGTGGTTGGTTGAGCTGGGGAGAGAGGCTGTTTCCATGCTATTTATGTGGCCACGTGGATGTGTGTGTCTCTCTTTAGAACAAATTAAAGCCATTTTGTGTAAGTTGTGCTGGACAGCCTATTGTTATGTAACTGACTGTTAAACGCATTTCTCCAGTGATGCGCCATAACTTCTAATTCACCACGCTTTGTTTGCAACTGTTGGGTTTCATTAATTTGCCTCTCGCTTTAAATTCAGATTCCATTTCCTTCTTTCGGTAGTTTACAGTGTATAATAGAGAAAACAAACAGGACTATCCTCTTGCAACTTTTAGCCCCAGCAGTGCTGTAGTACAGTACGTCATAAACTTAACAATGATAACGAGTCACTGGAAACATTAACACTTGTATCACACTTGTAGATCTGAGAATCGTGAGCCCGGTGTCATTAAACTCTGCCTTCGCTTTTTAGCCGACAGAGGAAAGGAGGGGTGAAAAAAACTAAAATTCCAGAAAAGTACAAAAGCACCAAGACGCAAGTTCTTACCTTGCCCGTGGATTTCGGCCACGGCGGCGGCGAGAAGCAAAACCGTGCAGAGGGTCTGAAATTGGCAGCCTTGTTTCACGCACATGTCTACTAAAGTCGAGGTCGCTCTTCGCGTATCTACGGAGCACGTCCTTGTGTTAAGAAGAAGAATACTTCCAGGGGAGGAAAAACAAAAAAAGAATAAAAACAAGCAAGGCGAGGACTTTAAACAAAGGCTCGCGGGATGCTCTCGCACTTCCTCAATAATTCGCCGACTGAAGACCGTCGAGAATAATCAAGTGAAATGCGGAGGTCCCTCTTTAATTTGGACGCTCAGTAAGCGGATTGCTGGCTGTGTGAGCTATCGACACATGGAGAGGAAGGGGGGGGGAGAGAAAAAGGAAGCCGAGGATTCAGCACCGCGGACAGCTCCTAGCGTCTGCTGATGGAACAGCCTCAAAGTTAGCTGGAGGAAGAGGAATAACTGAGCTCTGTGCGTTCTTTCGGTCTTTGGAGCTTCTTGTGATGATGTTTTTCTTTTTAACAGCCTTCCTTTTAATCATCACAATAGCCACGTTCAGGTTCAACAAGAATATATAAAGATGGCATTTTTAGGATAGCCTATACCAGACATAATACTTGACTTATTCTCAGACTTCTGCTGTTGTTTTTGTTGTTTTTTTCCTTCTATAAATTCACTAACTTGTGTATAAAAAGCAGATAACGTGAACGTCTAAACTCATATTTTAAAGCTATTTGCAACTCATTCTATTTGGTTTTGGACACCCAGAACCTCTGTAAATGTCCTGCCTCCAAAGACACTGTGGTGAGTCAAGAATGAAGATAGAGTGCAGATTACTGCAGGCTTTAAGGGCGAGTGAGAGGTACATGTACACTATCTTTAAAAAAAAAAGAAAAGAAGAAGCTTTCTGTGTGAATCTTGAGCTTCAATTCGCTGGTCAGTTTACACTTGTATTCCACCCTGCACTTGCTGAAATACATTGCTTTTCTTTTTCTTACCCTAATTTCAGCATACGCTTCCCTGGCTAGTTTTTGTGCCCACAGGAGTCAAGACTGGAGCTGAGTGGATTTTTTTTTCCAGTCCAATTCCCTGTAAGGCTTAGACCCTGCTGTGCATGACAAGCCCTGAGGTGAGACGTTCCTCAGGTGCTGGAAATAACTATGCCATGCTCTGAGTCCCTTAGGTCACTTTTTTCCCCCCTCTCTTATCCAGCTATAGTTTATGTCTCGGGGCTGTAAGTATTTGCCAATGATGTCAGCCTACCTACTTCTGGCAAGAGACTTTAACTTTTTAATGGATAAAGTGGGGTGCTAAATTGGTTATCAGGGTTACTTAACTTGTCATTGTGTTGGGAAAAACCCAGAGCAAGAATGTAATGAACAATTCTTTGGGAAAACTTAACTTTAGTCTGTGTGCAGGTAAGAAGATGCTAAACTGGAGCAAGATGCCAAAGTCATAGGAGCATTAAGAGCTGCTTTTATGTGACTTCTGACCTCTGATTCTGAACATGGGACAAGACCACATGACTTTGAATGAGTGCAGAGTAAGGCCAGCCATCACAGATTCTTATTTAGCAAAGTAATTACCATAAACTATGGTTTCATTCATCAGTAATCTAATTTACAGTCCAAGTGTGACAAAGAGGATTATTCTAAAATGACTAGTTAGATAAGCTTGTTGAAATATGCTTTCTTCTTATGACAGCTAACCTTTCAAAAAGCATTTGTAGATAGTATCTACTATGCTTATCATTACACCCCCTTTAGTTATCTAGGCCATTTTATTATTATAATTTACGCCTGCTATATCAAAGGGCTTAATTTAGCCAGTAAAATAATTGCTGTGTGCCCACATTCTGTTCATCCAGTCAGTAACTTCTGACTTGACGAACAGAACGTGGGCATGTGAGTCATGCATGAACAGGAATGGCTAAAATTCACGAATGGTTCAGAAGTCTACGCAGTCAAAATAAACAACATGCACATGCTCGTCCTCAGGACGGTTTTCTGCGTAGTTCTATTGTCACCTCAACGGAGGAAGGCACGGGAGGGTGACATGCATTCACGGCTGTCTGCTGTGCAAGAACGCAGTAAAACGGCATCAAAATAAATGCAGTTTTAAGGCATGAATAGAGATGGGGTTGAGGGTGGGATCATAAAGGTACTGGGGGAGAACCAAGGTCAGTTTTATTGGAGATGCTAAAATAATATAAATAATGGGCAGTTGTTTGTTTGTTTTTAAAAACAAGACCATTTCTTCTAAAAATAAATTTTGTTTTCTTTTTTCTTTTTTTTGCAGTGGAGGCAATAAAAGGTACAGCAGTCCTTTGAGCTGTACACATGCAGCATCTTAAATTAACCAGAGTGTGTTATCATTAGTCGTCTCACTTTTCTGTCACACCACTCTGACTCGACTGCTGGGAATAAACAGACAATTTATTTCACAAATGTCATGCATGTCATCGTCATTACACGCCGGCTCATTTTGGACTGTCCTTTTCTTCTTTTTTTCCCCGTCTTTGGTCGGCTTTTCTTCCAGGTTTTATATGACTTTGCCTCCGTTTGCCTCTCACTTCCTCCTCTATTTAAGCACCGACATCTCTCTCATTTTCTTCTAAATTTATCTCTGCTTCCCCTCTATATCCCCCAAGCATGGGACACTGTCCTTGCATCTCTCCCGTCCTCCCGCTGGCCTGCTGCAGAATAGGCTCTAATAGTGCAACTTTCCCTTTAGTGAAGCTCAATGGAGCCATAAAGCAGCCCTGAGGTCTAGTTGGCAGCCAGATGGTCGCAGCCGAGCTTTCATTCTGCTAATGGGTAGGGGGGCAGAGCAGTTAATGAAAATCAGACCCTTGAAATGAAATGACCAATGTCCCAAGGTAATGAGGCACAAATCGTCAGCGAGCTTTTACAAGCACTAAGGTAATCTTAGATGGCAGGATTATGTAAAAACATCTTATGATGACTGTTCATTAGATGGCTAAAGACTGACTGATTATTATACCTCATGTTCAGCTGACAAACACACTCCTATTGACTCAGAGCACTGGCTGTGATATTTAGATTGACTGGCTTGGCTAAGTGCTTCATCCAAGCAAGGCTGTGTGCCAAATGCTATCAATGAGTATCTACCCACGCAGCATTACAACCTACAAATTACAGCCCATGTTACAGTCATAGGCAGCAACAACATCACAGTAACAGGACTCACAAATGCATGCGGGGCTAATCTCAATGCATTACATTCACAGTTCAGCATTCTGACCCCTTTCAGCCAACAATTGCAATTATAGTGCTGTCCTGAAATCTGCTCACTGTTATTTACTGCTATTTGTATTGAATCGGGCAATGCCAATCAGATGTCAGCTGCTGGAAATGGGAGAGATTTCGGCTCTGTAACTGAGGGATAATGTCAGACTTTGAATGGAAAATAATATTTATACCTGAACCAGCACAGTTAGCAGCACATTGCTGACGCAAGTCGGGCCTTGGATGATTGTGTTTGTTGTTCGACCGCGTTTCTCCGAAGTCGTTATGGATTTGAGCATTTCTAGGAGTTTCAGAGGAAAAAAATATGTAGCATTACAACAGAAGAACCGTTAATTATTTAGCCACAGAAACATTCAAAGAGGTTTGAACAGCCCGTAGTGTTGTGCGTTTTGTCTGCTCAAGATTTTCAGGGACAAGTATTGATTTTCTCTATGAGCATTTTTTTTATTTTAATGATTGCTGAAACATGTATTTTGGATTTTTTTGGTGAGGAGGGGGAAGTCGATACAGTTCAATCACAGCAGAATATTTTATTTATTTATTTATTTTTAAGGGTTTTTTTTACGGGGGATTTTGCACTAACTTTTGGAATAAACAAGACAAAGTAGAAATTAATTAAATCCCCTAATTTTACTTAGAATGCTGCTGCTGACAAATATAAATGTGCTGCATATTCTTTATATAATAGCTCGATGTTACGTCTAAACTGCTGTCTGTAAATACAATTTAATGACAGTTTAATGACACACCCTTTCGTGACAATCTGTGAAAATTTCACCTCACTGTGTAAACAAACAGCAGCAGCAGAGCAGCATAAACAGGCTGAGAGTTTGAAGCATATAATCCATATCCCCGATGCTGAGAGGCAAACTAATACGAAACAGAATCGACTCATTCTGTTCCCGTCTTACCTCCAATGGACCTCTGACCTCTTTCTGGATTAAACCATTTTTCTTCCTAGCTTCTACATACAGTATTTAATAGACTATTTTTTTCTAGGAATGATGATGCTGTCCAGTGAGGAAAGTAGCCAATTTCATTATGTTGTGATGTGAAATGCTACGTCTAGTTTATTAGAGAATTGTCGATAATTGCTATGTTGAGTTGGCACAAATTGCTACCATACTCAGTTCTGACACCCATTCATCAAGACCAAGAGCGTATTTGCATGTTAAATAACACCCACTTAAGAAAGAAAAAAAAAGAAGACATAAACAATTCAGTTTTGTGTTTAATTTATTGCTTAACTTGCACTCAGTTTACATCCTGGTCTACCTGAAACAGTGATCAGTTTCCCCACAAATATCGGGTTTCTTCTTAACAAGCTCATGCATGTATATGGCGTAAATTACTTCACTGCAGTTTGGAGTATTCTGCAGCTTATGACCCCCACATCCCCATTCCCTTTTTGTTGTGCACTTCCTCCTTGAATAGCTCAGATAATTGCACACTCCACTATGTACTGGCTCTTTCTGAGAAAGTCAGCTGTGCAAGAAAAATATCTTTTTGTACATATTTATTTTATTTATTTATTTAATTTTTTACATTTTTTTATAGGAGCAAGGGGGAAGGGAGTTATATCAAGGTGCATCTGACCCTTGACAAGAAAGTCTGAAATTCAAAAATCTTCTTGTGCATTTGTAACTTGTAACTTTTTATAGGTGGACACATTTCTCTTAGCTGTTTATTTTCTTGTTTCCTCACCAAAGTCCACGGAACCAGCGTGAACCGTCGCTGTGCATACTCTGCTCGGACTGAGTCCCGACTGTGGAAATAGATTGGATGTGACCCCCAAAGACGGAGCGACATCTGTTAACCCCTCGATCATTGCTTCTGCCTGACGACTGGGCCGGAGCAGCGTCTGCCCAGTCATGCAGGGCCCTGTCAATAGATTCAGCAGACTATGGTAATGAGCCTGAAAGGATTCCCAAGCTCAGCGCTGTCACTTTGATGACTCCAAAATTAACCGTGCACTAGAAATTCTCCTCACCTGCTGTAATAACATTCAAGATAGAAGGAATGTGTCTCATGCAATACAGGTACAAGAAAATTAATGTAACCCCT